GGACAGTGAGGGAATGTGTGGAGAAGAAAGCTTTATCTTCACTTGGACATCAAAAAGAAAAGGCTTTAAACCTATAATTTTTCTTTTGAGCTTACTGTTACTTGTACTCATATTTTTTTTGCTACAACTTTTCCCCTTGATTATGTGTAATTTTAGTTTTGATTTGCCCTAAGATCCATGAGTTCTCTAGGAGTATTTTCTTGATGGCTATTTCCCCTCATTGATTTCTAAATTTTGTGTCATTATTAGAGAATATGACCTATGACATTTTTCTCACAAATTGCAAGATCAGAAGAATAAAAGTATATTCTTAAACTTTAAGGAGTAAAGCTCTGTAGTTGTTAAGTAAAATTTATTGACTATATTATTCAAAAACTTTATATTATTAATTTTTAAAATCTATTTGGCTTGCCAGCTTCTGAAATAAATATTGTAGAACTCTCCACTCTGGGTATATATATATTTTCAAATTCTCTTTGAGTTGTTAGGAGTTTTGTTTTATGCAGTTGTCTGCTATGTTGTTTGTTGTATAAAGTTTTATGACTGTTACAGCTTCTTTGTGGGTTGCATCTTTTATTATCACATAATATTCTTTGCCTTGTCTGACATGTTTGTCCTTGAATTTGTTTTGTCTGACATTGGCACTTCTGCTTTCTTTCTGCTTGCCTTTGCACAGCCTATTGCTGACTATTTTTAACCTTTTTCCTTTTTACGTGTGTGTTATATTTAAATAGTACAGAACTGGATTTTACTTTTTTTTTTTTTTGCTTGGGAGATGCAAGGATTTATTATTCCTTGCAGCCAGTAAGGAGAATACTTGGCCTTTCCCAAAGCGGTGTCTGGATTTTACTTTTTATTTACATCTGACAGTCTCAGATTTTTAATAGAGAAATTAATTCTGTTCCCCTTTTTGTGTTAATGAGTATACTTAGGGTTTAGGGCTTCTGTGTTATTTTTCATTGTTCTCTGTATCAGTTTGGAATGTGGTTAGCCGTAAGTAACAGACTGCACCATTAATAGTTGCCTGATTAAATCTTTCCTATTTGTATTACCACATTTCGTGTAGTAGTTAAAGAACTTTATTGCTTGGAGTTCCTCATTTTTCCTAAATGATAAGAAGTCTGGAGGTGTACTGCAGTGGATAGATTAGTTTAGCTTCTCAGTCAGATCGTCAAGGCCTCATCTCCTCTCACGTTTCTGCTTACTCATCTCTAGTGTGTGGTTGTCTTCCTCATGGCTGAAAAAGTCCTCCCAGCAGCTCCTGACATCACTTCTTCATTCCAGCCAAGAAGAAGGAGGGGAGGTAAATGAGGAAAGAGTGAACCCATTTCTCCTAAGAAGTGTTCACCTTTTGTTTAGAACAAGAAACCCTTTCACTGGGACTTCTGCCCACATCTTCTCTGTCAAAAGTGGGGATGACTGGTCACTCCTAGGTCGACTACTTGCTTGCCATTGAAAATAATATTATGTGATGGGTTTAGACCAATTTCATTTGTCCTTTGAGGCTGGAGTAGAAACTTGCCTTTCCTGAAACGAAGGGATCTTTTGTTACTCCCCAAACAAATTGGGGTTTTTAGCAAGGGAGGTGGCAATGGCACCCCACTCCAGTACTCTTGCCGGGAAAATTCCATGGACGGAGGAGCCTGGTAGGCTGCAGCCCAGGGGGGTCGTGAAGAGTCAGACATGACTGAGAGACTTCACTTTCACTTTTCACTTTTATGCATTGGAGAAGGAAATGGCAACCCACTCCAGTGTTCTTGCCTGGAGAATCCCAGGGATGGGGTCGCACAGAATTGGACACGACTGAAGTGACTTAGCAGTATCTGTAGCAGCAAGGGAGGAAGGTGGCTGGAATGGATGGTGAGGAGGTTACTGATAGTGCCTGCTATGATAGCTACTCATTTTCTGTTGTTTTCTCTTTTCCTTCTAATTATTTTTACAGGATTGACAAACCTATTATCATGTACCTTTGCCAACTATTAATTTGGAAGTTCTGCAATTCTAGTAGTAGTTGCTTCCTTGCTTCTATGAGTCATAATTAAACTTACATTCCTCTAGCACTGTATTGCTTTTAACATACTACAAAGATAACAATGCCTTTATATATCAGCCAGGGGAGTTAATGCTGCCGTCTGCAATAGATAAATTCCGAAATTTCAGTGAGTTACTATAATGGAGGTCTAGTTCTGATTACGTCACAGCTTGATGTGGATTGGGTAGTGTGGCATGGCTCGCCTTCCAACACTGACTCGTGGATCAGGCCGCTTTTCTCTCCACCATCTTGGAGTCGTCAACTTCCTGCTGGGTGGATGGGAAAGAGAATGTGGAAAAAGGCACAGCCTTAGCCTGAAAGTGGCACAAGTCACTTCCCTGACGTTTCATAGACTAGAATTCAGTCATGTGGCCCCAGGGAATTGAAGGGAACCTGAGAAAAGTGATCATCTGCTGGGCTTAGGGAGAGGAGGTGGGGGGCTGGACATAGTGTGGTCACTGTCACAAACTGTCATTCTAATCATCCATGCGTTTGTTTTTCTTTGCATAGATACACTCACTGCCTCCTTAATGGGGGCACCTGCAAGTCTCACCTGGTCACTGCATCAGCCCAGAGTCCACAGTCCACATGTGTACAGCATTAGGCTCGCTAAGGTCCTGATGTGGCTCAAAAGACATGTCATCCTCACACCCTTGAGACACGATACACAGTGGGGGGAACAGGGTCAGAATGTCCACTGTGGAAAAGGCGGGAGTATGAGCCCCACTTAGTCACTAGTCTATAGCATCGTGAAGTCCTCCAGGTCAGACTCTGAGGAACCCCTGCCCTGGCAGTGAAAGGATGACCTTGAATGGACACTGACTGTACCCTGGAGCCTCCTCCTTGTTCAATATTCCCCTTGGCTGCATCCGAAGTGAGTATAGAGAATCTCATCCTCCTTGGACCATGTAGATATAGCCTTTGAAACCTGCCTCTTGGTCCTCGAGGTTGGGTGCCCAAGAGTTGTTTAAGTCCTTGAGTCCAGATGATATTCCCCTTGGCTGCATCCGAAGTGAGTATAGAGAATCTCATCCTCCTTGGACCATGTAGATATAGCCTTTGAAACCTGCCTCTTGGTCCTCGAGGTTGGGTGCCCAAGAGTTGTTTAAGTCCTTGAGTCCAGACGCAGAGATTTAGTAGGCTTCTGATCTCTTTGCTTCCATGTGCCAGGAGCAACAGCTAAGATTCTTCTCTGGATGTATTTCAAAAATTGCCTGTTTTCCTTTGCCTCTTTACCCCATGTCTCTACTTTTCAACTGAAGGTCTTCTACATTTAGGCTCTTTGAAAAATATGTGTGAAAGACTGCACCCTTCGTGTCTTGTTTTAGCCTGGCTTCTCTCAAGAGCAGAGACAGGGTGGGAGACAATTACACAAGGGTTTTATTCAGGAAACACCTGTGAGAGAAAAAGGGCCGGGAGCTGGAGGAGGCTGAGAGAGCCATTGCGCTGTAGTCAGTGCAGGCATGACCTTGAGTGAAGGAGAGGGAAGCGAAGGTTGGGTGGAGGTGTTCCAGGCTGTCCAGGGAAGGTTTGTTATGGTCTCTGAGGAGTTGCCCTTCATAGGAGTCTCATGTCTCCCAGGAACCAGCCTGCCATGCTCACTCGAAGGCTGAGAGCATGACCTTGGGCTCAACTCTTTCTGTTTTTTAAACACTTAAATTTTAAAAATTAATTAAATTAAATTAATTAACTTAAAATTAATTAACTTAAAAAATGAACACTTACATTAAAAAATTAAATTAATTAAAAATTTTTGGCTGCACCACCCAGCATGTGGGATCTTAGTTCCCCAACTCGGGACTGAACCTGTGCCCCCTGCAGTGGAGCCCAACCACTGGATTGCCAGGGAAGTCTGCTGAATTCTTTTTTGAACTCAGTTCTTTCCCTTAACATCTTGTCAAACACAGCGCCTAGCAACTAATGCATACTCCCAGTGCTGTGTTTTCCAACTTCCTGTCTTAGAGGGACAAGTTCAGAAGTATGAGGGTCTCCATTTTAAGTTATAGTGTCTGACAGCTTTACCAGATACTTTGCTCCTGCATCACATGAATCTGCAGCTAGCCAGCCTGCTAAACACCACTGCTAAAGCAGTGACAGTCAGTTGATATTCCTGTTGCAGCCAGTACTCCACTTTGGGGTCCATCTCCATTTTAGTCATGGTTATCAATGGAATCTATTAGAACAGGCAGACTGAAAAATCTCAGTGACTTAATCCAACACAAATTTATTTCTTGCTCAGGTTATGGGCTGATGTGGGTCATGGAGACTCAGGGGCCAGCTGCTTCATCTTGCAACACCACCATCGCCAATTCTTTTCTTCCAGTCAACGGACAGGGGAGATGATAGATAGATATGAGAGATGAGAGAGAGAGAAGACTTAGAAGAACCTTGGCTTCGAAGTGCCTTGGCTTGTATGAAAGTATTAGTTGCTCAGTATTGTCCAACTCTTTGCAACTCCATGAACTGTAGCCCACCAGGCTCCTTTGTCCATGGAATTCTCCAGGCAAGAATACTGGAGTGGGAAGCCATTCCCTTCTCCAGGGGATCTTTCCTGCTCAGGGATCAAATTCAGGTCTCTTGCATTGCAAGCAGCTTCTTTACCATCTGAGCCACCAGGGAAGCCTTGGCTTGGAAGTGACACATCTTCCTTCAGTGAGTCACCTGATGTCCGCTCTGCTGAAGATCTCAGGGTCTCTGGGCTTTGGACACCAGTTCCAGCCCTGAACACTTGTTCCAGCAGGCTGACCTGACTGCCATATTGCTCCCTAGAGGGAATGGGAGGGGAAGATGGATGTGGAACTGCACTCAGGTCATCTCTGTCTGGCATCCTCTTTGCAGATGACAATGTTCTGTAGGGTGGTGTGATGGTTGTGCACCCCTGGTCAGCCCAGGTCATTCCTCACTCATTACAACTCTGACCTTTTTTTGTTTTTCCTTCCTTCTCTTTCTTCCTCCTGTTGTGAGGCAGCGAGTGACAAGCACATCCAGTGGCTGCTGGGGGCAGATGGCGAGGTCTGGGTCTGGATCATGGGAGAAGGTCCCGGCGACAAGCCCTATGAAGAGATCTCTGAGGAGCTGATTGCAGAGAGAGCGCGGCTGCAGGCACAGCGGGAAGCCGAGGAACTCTGGTGAGAGGTGCCAGTGGGTGTTGAGGTTGGGGGGCGGGTGTTGGTGCCTGAACACGGAGGCTTGAGGTGGGTCCAAATTCAGGGTAATAGATTATGGGTGGGAATGAGGAGGTGGCGCCAGGCAGCTGGCAGGCTGTTTGGAGCTGTGCTATGATTAGGTGACCAAAGAACTAGTCTTACATCAGGTAGACCTTGTGGTTCAAGTCCCGGTTCCACTCCTTAGTGGGGTGGTGATTTGAGGCCTCAGTTTTCTACATCTGTGGTTTGGGTACCACAACACCTTTTTTATATAGTTGGCTTTATTGAGATAATACATTTGATATTCTTTCTCCTCTTCCCTCACTGAGTTGTCCTTAGGACAGCAGAGCAATTTGAATATCCCTCTTAAAGTCTTCTTGTTCGTCTTTGTGTTACCTCTGTTTTTCACACAAGGTGGGCACTGAAGCCTCTACTGATACTGGCAGGGTCAGACTTCTTTCATAAACAACATATGATGTATTTTTTGCTAAACTTGGAAGTTTGTATGAGGTCGGTGCCAACATTTTTCCCACAATTTTTAATCACAGTGTTTTTGTTGTTTTTGACTGCACTGGGTCTTCCGTCCTATATGCAAGCTTTCTCTACTTGCAGCGAGAGGACTTCTCATTGCAGCGCCTTCTCTTGTTGCGGAACGCAGGCTCTGGAGCCCAGGTTGTGTGGCGCGTGGGCTTAGTTGTCCCTCATATGTGGGATCTGTCTGGACCAGGGATTGAACCCCGGTACCCTGCATTGACAGGCAGATTCCCAATCACTGGACCACCAGGGAAGCCCAATGACAATGTTCTAATAATAAAATTGTGACATATATTCATGTTGAGGTTTGACAGAAAACAGCAAAACTCTGTAAAGCAATTATCCTTCAATAAAAAATAAATTAATTTAAAAATTGTGACATATAACCAATATTGAAAACTATAAAGAATTAATTAAAGAACAACTCCATACCCATCACCTCAGATAAGCATGATGAGCATTAGGGCAAAACCTGCTCTGTAGAGTGCTTTATTCACACCTTGGTAAATTGATTACTGTAGATACCACAGCATTATTCAAAATAACTGTGTAATCTCCCATTACATGAGGAACCCAACTTATTGGTCCTGTTGAGGGACACTTGTGCTGTTTGCCATTTTTTTTAATGTTATAAAAATCCTCTGATGTGTATCTCCCTACACCTTTGTAAACTCAAGCAAGAAATGGGATTCCTGAGATTTTTTTTTTCCTGGCTTCCAGAGAAGTTCTGCTGATGTACACTCCTGTATAGGAGAGAAACTGTTTTTTTTCCCACCTTTGCCAACATTTGTGAACCTCAGATACTTGCCATTCTGATAGACCAAGAATGATTGGGCATGGTTTTTATTTGAAATTCTGTTGGCGTGTGGTCCCTTATCTTCCCACACCTCCTGATACCTGCGGGTGTTCTCTTGAAAGGAGACAGAAGGAGGCAGAGATCACCAAAAAGTTCCGGGATGCTCTGGCCAATGAGAAAGCCCGGATCCTGGCAGAGAAGTGGAAGGTGGAGATGGAGGACCGCAAAGCCGCCAAAGTCCTGGAGGAGCGCATCCATGAGGAATTCAAGGTGGGCCAGTGCCTGGGTGTCAGTGTGAGGCCACCTGTTGCAACCCCCAGGCTGACCTCTGGTTGGACCAGTCCTTGGCCAATGCGTGCTTTATGAGAATAGAAATCAGACATGTCTGAGTAGGAAGGAACTTGACATACCCTCTTGGCTAATTCACTTCTCCTTGTACAGATGAGGAAATTGAGGGTCAGATAGGGAAGAGACTGTGTGTAGTGGTGATTGGTTTGGGGACAGAGCCAGGATCAGAACCCAGCCCTCTGAGTCTCAAACCAAGAGTCCTGAAATGGGGCCTGAAGAGAGCTGAATCTGTTGTCAGACCAGCCTGGGATCCAGTTCCAACTCTATTGCTCACTGCTGTGTGACCTTGGGAAGCTTGCTGAACTTCTCTGACCTTCTTGTTTGTAATATTCATAATAACACTTTCCTTGAGATTTTTGGAGGATTCAAGGAAATGAAAAATGTAAATTTTTCTGCTCAGGATAGGACATTGTAAGTTTGCTGATTCTGAGACTCAGAGTTTGGAGCTGATAAAGGAGCTTTACAGTCCTGTAGCAAGAAGCTTAAATTTCCTGAAAAAAAAAAAAAAAAGCTTAGGTTAAAAAGAGAAAAAAAAGCTTAGGTTAATATTTTTTCTTCTGGTTCCTATTTTGAGATTTTTTTTTTTTTTGGCTATGTAGGAATCATATATTTTTGAGGGGGTAGAAAACTCAGAAAATACTATAAACAAAAAGAAAAAAAAAACAAGAATCATGCTGAATCTCAGCAGTTGTATATTTTTGTGAATTGTATATTAATGGCATTTGCCCATTTTTGAATTTTTAAAAACTTTCCCCCTATAATGATTAGAGAATGGGGACATTGGCCTTTTAATATCATTTCTGTTGTAAATATTTTTTCTCAGTGTTGTTGTTGCTGTTTTCTTAATTTTGGTTATAGTGGTTCATGATGTACAGAAGGTTAAAATTTTTATTAGCCAACTATATGAATCTTGTTCTCTATTATTTGTTTTATGCATAGAAAGACCATCACAAGCTTATAAAAATACTAACCTACATTGCTTTATATGTCTTTTCAGATTTCATTTCTTTGTACTCAATTTTCCTTCACTTTGCTGTGTGGTATGATATATGGCTCTCACTTTATTTTATTCCAAATGGCTAGCCCATTATGCTAACATCATTTACTATGTAAATCATCCTCTCTCCTCTCATTGGATTTCCTGTCTTGATTCTTACTTCTTACTTACTTTTGGATCCTTTTGTGGATTTTTCTTCTTTGACTGATTATTCCTGAGCCAGATGTAATTGTTTAATTATACGTAACTTTAACATAAATTTTACCATCTATTAAAGTTAGAGTGTATCATTATTCTTCATTTCTAAAATGTCCTTGGCTAATCTCATCCATTTTTTTCCCATTAGAGCTACTTGTGAATTATTTTCTCAGTATCCTCTTCTCCCCTAATATCCAAAAAAACCATGTGGTGGTTTTCATTGAATTGCATCAGTACTATTGCTGCATTTGTGGAAGATGAACATTTTTTATAATATTGAATCATTAAATCTTACTCAGGAATGTGGTAAGTTCCTCCTTTTATCCAAAGTTTCTTTTTTTATCTTTGATACAGTTTTTTTTTTAATACCTCTAAATGCACTGGCCACCCAATCCCAAACATTCTCAATGACATATGTTCTTGTGGGCTCCTATTTTTTGGACTTGGGTTAAATTTATTGTTTTCTTTAGGTCCTCTACGTTTCTTTTCTTTTAAATTTTATGTTTAATATTTTTATTGCTATCATGATTGTGCTCATTACTTTTAAACCTACTGCAACTGCTAGCCATAGATTTACATTGTTACTGGTCTCCTTATTTAACTTTCCCATGAGTTGCACTTTTTTTCTAGGAGATTCTTTTGCATTCTTAAGTGAAGGAATATTTACTCTCAAGACACTTCTTTTAAAAAAAATTCAGACTTGGAGAAAAGTGGAAAGAAAAATGACGTGAATACTCACATATTAATATTATCCACCTGCTGCTGCTGCTAAGTCACTTCAGTCATGTCCGACTCTGTGCGACCCCATAGACGTCTGCCCACCAGGCTCTCCCGTCCCTGGGATTCTTCAGGCAAGAACACTGGAGTGGGTTGCCATTTCCTTCTCCAATGTGTGAAAGTGAAAAGTGAAAGTGAAGTTGCTCAGTTGTGTCCGACGCTTAGCGACCCCATGGACCGCAGCCTACCAGGCTTTTCCATCCATGGGGATTTTCCAGGCAAGAGTACTGAAGTGGGGTGCCATTGTCTTCTCCGATTATCCACCTACATATACCAATTATTAATATTTTGCCTCAATTTCATGCTCTTTGCTTTTCTTTCTCCATCCACACATGCATACCCACAGGCGCATGCACAGTCACATATACATACTTGCACTTTTTTGTTGCTGTCAAACAGTTTGAGAGAAAATTGCAGACATAGTGCTCTCTAACCCAGGAGTTGGCAAACTATTTTCTGTAAAGGAGCAGATAGTCAATATTTTAGACTCTGTTGGTCATGCTGTCTCTGTCACAACTACTCAACTAAGACATCATGGCACAAAAGCAGCCACAGACAACATGTAAACAAAAGAGTGAGACTGTGGTCCAACAAGATTTTAAAACAATGCCTGTCATTGGCCTGCGAGCTTCCTCATCAAACCTTAATCCTTCAGTGTGCATCTCCCACAAAGAAGGACATTTCCTGTCATAGCCACAAAATTCATTGCTACATTGATTGAAATTAACGATGTAATTCCATAGTAGTGGCTCAAATTCCATCCACACTGGAGAGATACTTAGTTTGTATTGCTGGATTTTGCATAGGAGCCTGGTGGGCCACGATCCATAGGGTCACAAAAGAATCCAACATGACTTAGCAACTAAACAGCAACAATTTAAGTCTACTGGGGAAGAAAACCAGTACTTTTCACATGTCTCCAGCAGTGAGCATCACCTGTTCCAATCCCTGGCCTCCCCCGTCCCCAGAGGTGGGCCAAGTCCCAGATGCTGGGAGGGTAGCTTGGCAGAGCTGGAGTCTTGGGGGTCGGTTCCCAGCAGAGATTCTCTGATGCTCTCCTTGAGGACCTTGAGGATCGAGGGATAGAAATTGTATGCTGGCTCTGTGTTGGGGTTTATGGAGGAATCAGTAAAGCCATGTGGCCAGGCCCCATGTTCACTGAGGAACCCAAATGCAGGCTTTTGTGTTATTTCCAAAGGTTATCGTTATTGTGTGGGGTTTTTTTTTGGTATGTTTTTTTCTGTGTGAACACATATAAATGTGTTAGTAAGTATGTCTGCTTTGAGGAGCCTCAGAAGTGCAAGTAGCATCTTTGAGGCCTTGGAAGGCTCATTAAGGAACATCAGATCAGACATTGGGGCTGGACAGTCCTTGTTAATGAGCTGAGATATTTTCTGTCAGTGCATCCATGCTTAGTTGCTAAATCATATCCAACTCTTTCCTACATTCCTGTAGCCCACCAGGCTCCAATGTCCATGGAATTCTCCAGGCAAGAATACTGGAGTGGGTTGCCATTTCCTTCTCCAGGGGATCTTCCCCACCCAGGCATAGAACCCGTGTCTCCTGCATCTCCTGCCTTGGCAGGCAGATTCGTTACCGCTGAGCCACGTGGGAGGCCCCGCTTGCTGGCAGAGCTGTCTATAAATGAACCTCCCTTGTATTGTGACAGGCTCTCCATCACAGGAAGTGGTTACGTGTAGGCTGAAACAGTATCTGAGAAGGTTTCAGTGGTGAATTAAATATGCCTGGTAGCAAATTCTTGGCCTCTCCTCCCTTTGAGAGGAGGGGTCTGGTTCCCCACCGCTGAGCCTCTGTGACCTTGTGGCTAGCCTTGGTCTGTAGGGTGCAGTAGAAATGACTGTGTGTAAATTCCGAGGATGAATAAGAGCAGATTGCGCCCTCTGGCAAGGCTCTCTTTTGGAAGCTGCCTTACAAGAAGCCCTCCTGCCCTAGGCTCCCAGGCTAGCTGCAAAGACACCCAGGCTAGCTAAAGAGAGGCTATATGAAGGAGCACCTAGGCACCACACACATGAGTGAAGCCTTTGTGGTTCTTCCAGTCAGTGACCTCAGCCAAGTAATCGACCATGGCTGACATAATGTGGAGCTGAAAGGCCACCCAGCCAAGCCCGGCCCGAACTAGTATCTACAGAATCTCAAGCACATAAAATGTTTGTTTTAAGCCACTAAATTTTGCTGATAGCTTGTTGTTATAATACTTAGCAATAGATAACTGCAACAGCTTTGCCAAAGGGATTTATGCATCGGGTTAGAGATTGGTTTAGATAATTTTTATTGTGTCTTCCTACATGAAGATGCTAACATAATACGAATCTTGCATGCAGCAATGCACCGATAACATTCATCTAATTTAATACTTTTTTTCCCCTGAGACCAGAAGTGGAGGTTGTTTGGAGGAGGTAGTGGTGGTAGTAATAAACTCCCTGTTCTCAAAAAGCTTACAAGGTGCCAGGGAAGAGAGAATTCTGTGAGCAGCCACTCAGCCCCAACCATGACCGGAGGCACCTTAGAGGGCAGAGGTCCTTCCCGGAACCCTGCACAAATAAAGACAGGAAATGGAAAGGAGATAAGTGGGATGAGAAATGATCTGCTGGAGGAGAGAAAAAAGCACATGATGGGTGGAGACAGACAAAAACCTGGAAAGACAGGTGTGAGGCCCTTGAATGCTATGCTAAGGAGGTGGACTATTTTCTGTGGGCAAAGCAGACCTGCACGTATTCAGAGGGCCATGTCTGGATCACGTTTTACGAGGAAAACTGGTGGTGTGATTCAAGTGATGAACATTTAGGGTGAAGGGGAGCCAATTAGGAGATCATTGCAATGGTCAAAGTGGGAAATGATGAGGGTCTGGACAGAGTCTTGGACTATGAAGAGATAGAGGGGATGGACAAAGAAACATTGGTGGTGAAATCAACAATCAGTTAGATGTTGG